TGAGTATTCGAACACAGCTACAATTTATTAGTGAAGATTCTCAACTTCTTTAGTAAATCAGCCTCTGTATCTTCACACAGACTTTGAAGAAGCTTTTTAATCATGGGGATGTGGTACTGTTGTAGACTAAAGTGTAGGAAGTATCCCTTAAGCAGCTCAGTGTAGCAAGAATAGCTTCACAGAAAAGGAAAACTACTCAGTGATTTATAGTTAATTAAAAATTGTATTATTATTAATAAAGAAGCTTTCACACCATCCAAACAGCAACATATGGAAACAAAGACAATCTAACCCAGCAACACTTGGAGGGTTATTTCTAAAGCAGAAGCGCATTAGATTTTAAAAATGTGTGCCAGAGTCATGACCACAGAATTCTAAAAATAATGCATATAGTCACTCATTGACACATCTCTTTTTTCCTGCATAAAAAAGCATTTCTAGTTGAATGTCTTTCATTCATATGTCACTAGTTAAAGTGTATGTATAGTGAACATCTTTGTTTTTAAGTTTTGGATACAGTAGGGATGGTGTAAAACCCCTCTTAGATTATTATGTGCTGTCTGCTCTCTTGGGAAGATTTCCCCCATTTGCTGTCTAGGATGTGTAACAGAAAGTGAAAGTTAATCAGTGCTTCCAGAAAATAGGGTCAGAAGTAAGTATTTTTCATGTTTTATTGAAAAACTGATTTTTGGCACCTTTTTTTTTCTATTGGGGAAGATGGGGGTTGTCATTAAAGCACATTTTGCTCAAAAACTTACACTACATAGACTAGAGAGAGCCTGATTGTTGCTGATGAACCAATCCATATGCCTTTTGTTTGAGTGTCTTTATTTACAAAGAGTTTAGGAAATTTTTATTCCTAAAAAAGTCAAGCTGGAGGTGATGTTTGATACGTTATACACTTGAAGGAATAGAAGGATGATATTACTTTACTGCAATCTTATTCATTGCTTGTATATGAGCTACATCAATTTCACTGCTGAAGACTTGTTGATATCAGCTTGACAATATATATTTATTATTTACCAGAATGCCATCCACAGATTAATTTTACGGTATACCACATTAAATTAGTACTGTATGGGCTCCTCATTAAACTCCTCCTTATTACATTTTACATTACTCCTATTATGTTCATAAATAATTCACATATTCAAAAGGACATAGCTCACTGCAAAGCCCACTTTCATAAATATGCAAGGCCATTAATAAGACATATTCCATTCAATGTCACTAGCATAAATCCATGTTGCAGGAACACATTGGTACCAGAGTGTGCACCACACCACCCTGAAAGCAGCTGTGGCTGTCTGAATACAATAGAGTTTTCTCCATCCATGCTATTTGCATGGATGAGGGAATTGAGTGATTTTCTTTCTATCTCTCGTGGACTGAAAGGCTGTAATCCAAGCTGTCTTTCCCAGCCTTACACTGCTTTTGCGTTGTTATTAGAAGACAACAGTCTGAGCGAACATGGCTTTTATTGAGCACTAAAACAATGTTTTAGTAGACACTACCGCATTTGTGATTCCAGTTATACAAGACCCAAAATCACTGGCTTGAGGTCAATATAAAGTCCAAGTTAACTTCAGGTAAATGGAACTTTAACAGCAAAAGAGAAGTGTTAGAATGTTTACATTTCAAGGATATGTACTTATTTAAATATTATTATCTTTGCAAGAAGATGATTGACATTTGAGATACCATTCATACAAAACAGCCAAACCCACATATAAAAACCCTCTAAACATCCAAATTCCTGTGCATTTCCAGAAGATATTCTTATCAATTAGCCATGACAAGCTTGTTTAGTACAAATTATGTTAATATTTCTGACAATATAAAGGTCTGACGAACCCCAAACCATGTGAAGGTAAGGGGGAGTTGTACTGAACCCAGTGCCACCCAGAATTTACAAGTCAATGGCAAAAATTATCAAATTTAAATCATGTGTGCTAGACACAGAGATGTATCTATGGAAAATAGTGCCTAGGCAAGCAATGAAATGACTCCCCTTTCCAAACATCTGACACCAATATTTTAGATAACTTTACCATACTATCAAATAAAAAGTGCAAGCCAAGTCTTTTGATTAAATTCTGGCACTACATGGAAATTATACCCACGCCTTCTGCTTTCAGTGATGCAGATTGGTCCCCCATTACCTCTATCCTATTTATATAGCCCTTTGCACTAATGCCATCACACACTGTTGCTTAACCCTAGAGAGAGTACACTGTGTCTGTGTGAGGGTCGGCCGAGGTTCAGCTCAATCATGGATTGCTGACACAGGTACGAGGTAGCCACGCACCGTCCACACAGGTCTGTGTGTAATGTGTAATTTATTTGATGAATGAATGTCCACTGAGTGTCAAGATGTTGTGCACCCAAGTCCATCCCTACTGCTGAGTGGCATGGCTCTGGTGCTCCTTCCAGTAGTGCCCAAGGCATATGACATACGTGCCATATCCTAATTGACAGAAAACAGCATCAAGTTAGAAGCAAAACAGAGCTGTTGTAAAACCCCATTAGTCAGACTGTTTAGAATGATTGCTAAAAGAGTCATGTCAAAAATTGGTTGCAAAACAGTCTAGAACTAATACACATCTGTGAATCTAGTTTTATTTGAACTGAAATTAAACTTTAGGTCACCTTAAGCTCTCAAATCTATTTATAATCAATACGTCTTACAGTAATGGAGCTACATTCATAAAAAGGTAATTACATTAATGTTTGGGAAGGTGCCAATCAGTTAGACACCAAGCACACCTATATTAGGAGGAGCAGAAGGCTAACACCTTAGATCTCCTAAGCAATATATGAATCCAATTTATATCATACTTGATCTCTAAACAATCATAATGGCATTCTGTGCAATAATATGTTGGTTGACAGATTGTGTAACCTTATTATCTGAAAATAAAAATATAGTTAGAATAATTAATAATATTGAAGGGGTATACGCTGGAGCATAAAAAATAGTTCAAAATCCCTTTGGCATACATCTTAGATCATTGGATTAGTTGTGTTCTGTCTGTAAATGCCCTGTTCAGGGACCTAAAAAGATGACTGAAATTGCAGCTCAGCAGCTATTGCTAATCATCAAAGCTATAAAGCAATGCTAAGGGTCATTTATGAGAGCTGGTGACTCAGATTGGACCTACTCTGCATAGAAACATAAAACCATGCGATGTTTCATTAGTGCTTTTCCACTTTTAATCCTTTTTCTTTGAATGTTGCAATTGTCTATTTTGAAATATCTTAGAATTATATTTTAAAATGAGAAAATCTTAAATCAGAAATTAAAGACCAGAAATTAAAGAATGTTTGTCTTTGTGAGGGTTACCACATTTAGACAACTGTGGTACATTTCTGTCTGGGCATGGCAGCGAGTGTCTCAGACATTTCTTAAAGGTCAGAATTGCAAAAGACAATGCTGTGAACGGTACGTGCTTCCTTTAAAACACATGGTGGTTGCTACTGTTTGTGTGTGTAAATGGTTTCCTGTGGAGTTAACCTGCCCCAGTGACGATCACTCTCAGTCTATTCTTGCTTGGATTGCTGCCCCGTGAGCTAGAAAGTCTCTTCACAAAGTGAGATTGAGAGAGCTATGTCCTCAGCTCATACTCATTCCCACAAACAAACAAAAAAACAAAAAAAGACACCTCTCACACTTCTGTTTATTAACCCTCTGCAAGGTTAAAGCACCTGAAGGAGAACAGACCATAACTACCAGGCCCCTAACGTGACTAAAGTCATAGCCAAAATTTCCAACACAGTTAAGGCTGGATGAGAACAAAAGAAAATTAAGACCGGGTTCACACCTGGGCGTTTTACAGTGCTGATCGACGCGCTGTAAAGCAGTGAAATCCCATACTTGCCTGTGGGCATGGTTCCCACCTGGGCGTATTTCAGCCTGTGGAAACGCACTAAAAAACGCCCTATGCACAAACAAGTCAAGGAGCTTCTTTGGGGCATTTTTCTGCGCCATTGGTAATCCCGATTGTGGCTCGGGGTTAACAAAGCGGTAACCCCGAGCCACACTCGGGAATACAGCGTAGGACTTACCTTGTCCGTGATCCCCGCTGCGTCCTCCGGCAGCTGCCGACTTCCGTCCCTTGCGAGCGGCTGCGTCACAGGGGGCGTAGCCGGCGGGAAGTTTTAAAGTGAAAAAAAATAATACTTTTTTTAAAAAAATAGAGAAAATAAGAAAAAAAATCATACCGCCAGTGAAACACGCCTTTCACTGAATGGAAAAACGTGCTAAAAAACGTGAAAAAAACAAGCTGAGAAACAAGCAGAAAAAATACGCCCAGGTGTGAACCCAGCCTAAAGCACAGCAGTAGAGGGAGAAGTGAGAAAGCACATGCTGCATTTTAGGAAACATGTTCACATTTATGTGAGTTTTTGCACATTTCCTTCCAACCAGCTTTTGTTATACCTAAAGCATGTAGAGGTCAAAACATCATAAATGCCCAGACCAAATTAAGAAATGCCAGTCTTTAAATCTATAACTAATTTGTCAGTCTGACAGCAGGATCTGAGAACTAGGAATGTTCTCAGGTGTGCATTTCTAGTTGCATACTGCAATGTTTATTAATGTTCTCATGGAATAGAGCATTATGCCTAAGGACTTAAATGTTGGAAATGCAACAACATATGCTAATATGCACTGATTGTATTACTGACATTCTGATGTGCTGTTATGCCCTTTGAGCTGTAGATGGCGCTGTAGTGCAATGCTAGTCTATGCTAATCTGTATGTTAGTTTTCTATATGCATACTTATCTATTATACTGTATATAGGAAGTTCTCTGTATGCTGTATTCTGATATAACGTTCTTCTAAGCAAGTAAAATGTAATTCAGAATTCCTTAAGATCTCAGTGCTTCATCTAAACACATAACCAATATTAAATAGGCATATTGCAATCACAGAATTGTTATTAAGGAAAACCAATTAATGTGCAGAATGCAGTAACTTGTAGTAAGAAGACTGTGATGACTGGATGCTATATGTTACTGCAAACAATTACTATGTAAAATACACTATAAAATAAAGCCCCCATATCCCCTTGAGAAGGATGATTTGACAACTTTTGCTGGGGAGAAAAGCCAAAGCTTTGTACTGCAGTGCACATGGTGTGTTCTATGTGTGTTGTACAGCTTCCTTAGGTACAACTACCTTAAAGTGACACTAAACTCAGGAGTTAAATCTTAAAAATGCATTCACATTCTACAGCGGAGTGAAACACAAAGAAGCTACATTTTTGTTAAAAGATAAGGTGCTTGAATCCATTTTAAACATTCAACTCCTGAGTTTAGTATCACTTTAATTGATGATCTTTTGGTACTGGAGAAGAGTTAGAGATACAATGGGGGTGATTTACTAACCTAAACACACGCACGCACTAGGTGCGTGTGATTTTTACACAGCAAAACGTATTTATCAACCAAAAAGTCTCTAAAAGCATATTTTCACTAATGCCATATATGGAAAAATCATGCACATGATGCATATATAATGCTGCTTCACAGTTTAGACAAAAATGGTTAGCTCATGCATTTACATTCCTGCATTCATCAACGCAAGCAACTCAACATAGAGCTAATTTACACAAGATCACCTTGCAAATTCATGCAGGGCTTTGCACAACACACCTGCTGGGTGTGTACACACTACAAAGGTGTTTAGATCCCACCCATAGATCATGCTGGGAGGGAACACACTACAGAGGTGTATACATGTTCGTGGTGTGTTTATAAGGTTAGTAAATCAACCCCAATGTATCAAAGCCTGTTATTGTATGTATCAAAAAAAAGTATTGGTTATTTTATGGACTTTAGTGTATTTGCACTGTAACCCCTGATGTAAACTATAATAAAATATATAAGAATAGACTTCCTTGACCATATTATAACACAAGACTTAGAGGGTTATTCACAAAAGGGTGAAGAGTTTGGAGAAGGCCACTTTAGGGCTCATAAGCAAGATTTTGTAGAAAAATGCCATGGGAAGCCGGACATCGGCATGGAGGACATTTACTAATGCATTTTGTGTTTTTTTAGCATGCAGTGGACAAGCTATTTCATGTGACTTTAAGGACAATATTAAAAATAAACAAATCCTTTAAATACTTTGCTTGGGGATACCTTAAAGCTGTACATGGTATTAAAAACAGTACAATATGCATGAACAAACTCAGCAACAGCGAACACTGTCAGCCGACTGACTGTTGGCTGTGGAATTGATTTGCTTTCTTACACGATTAGCTTGGCTTACATACAGCAGTAACACCCCAACCTGATTTATTTAATTTTGAAAAAAAGGCCTTTTACAGGCAGCTTTAGCAGTGGCATATGCTTTTTCATCCAACAGTAACAGACCTGCTTTGAAAAAAATCATGCACATGATGCATATATAATGCTGCTTCACAGTTTAGACAAAAATGGTTAGCTCATGCATTTACATTCCTGCATTCATCAACGCAAGCAACTCAACATAGAGCTAATTTACACAAGATCACCTTGCAAATTCATGCAGGGCTTTGCACAACACACCTGCTGGGTGTGTACACACTACAAAGGTGTTTAGATCCCACCCATAGATCATGCTGGGAGGGAACACACTACAGAGGTGTATACATGTTCGTGGTGTGTTTATAAGGTTAGTAAATCAACCCCAATGTATCAAAGCCTGTTATTGTATGTATCAAAAAAAAGTATTGGTTATTTTATGGACTTTAGTGTATTTGCACTGTAACCCCTGATGTAAACTATAATAAAATATATAAGAATAGACTTCCTTGACCATATTATAACACAAGACTTAGAGGGTTATTCACAAAAGGGTGAAGAGTTTGGAGAAGGCCACTTTAGGGCTCATAAGCAAGATTTTGTAGAAAAATGCCATGGGAAGCCGGACATCGGCATGGAGGACATTTACTAATGCATTTTGTGTTTTTTTAGCATGCAGTGGACAAGCTATTTCATGTGACTTTAAGGACAATATTAAAAATAAACAAATCCTTTAAATACTTTGCTTGGGGATACCTTAAAGCTGTACATGGTATTAAAAACAGTACAATATGCATGAACAAACTCAGCAACAGCGAACACTGTCAGCCGACTGACTGTTGGCTGTGGAATTGATTTGCTTTCTTACACGATTAGCTTGGCTTACATACAGCAGTAACACCCCAACCTGATTTATTTAATTTTGAAAAAAAGGCCTTTTACAGGCAGCTTTAGCAGTGGCATATGCTTTTTCATCCAACAGTAACAGACCTGCTTTGATTGACAGATAGAAATTGGCCAGTAGTTTGCTGTGGCTGTTGTTGTTCTCACTGATGCAAAACTGTTTTGCCACTGGCCAATTTCTGTTAAGCTTTCACTAAGGATTAAGAGCAGTGTAAAAGTGGCCAACTGCAGGACATTTTTAATGATAGATACAGATTCTCCTGTGATCTCAGAATGGTAGGCAGATCCTTGACTCCTGGGGTTTACAGAAAGGCAGTTGAATTACACTCAACCCCCTACCTGTGAGTCAAGGGAGTCAAGGATCTGCCTCCTATCCTTAGCTCATAGGAGAATCCGACTCTGTCATTACAAATGCCCTGAAGTTGGCCAATTTTCACTGCTGTTGATCTGCAATCTCTTAATCCTTTATTCTTAGTAAGAGCTTAACAAAATTGGCCAGTCCCTAACGTTTCATCAAATTCATATGCAATATGGTATATTGGTATGGTATGGTAAATTGTTTTACTGTTTTATTTTTTAGTCCTGACTATAATAAATTCAAAAGAGTATGCACACACCACTACTGTCAAATAACATGTACTCCAACTCCCTCCCATGTCTCCCTCCAACTCCCCTCCCATCCATTCATAGACTTTTCTGTAAAGAAAAAACCCTTTCCAAGTCTGCAATTTACGCCCATTGTCTAAATACCTTGTGGTGTCTCTTCTAATCATGGAGACTGATTATCCAGTGATGTAGTGTGTGCCCACATTAATAGGTCCCCTCTACTGCTATCATAACATTCCTTCATTTCTGAAGCCTGAAAACTAAGGATGGGCCGAGTGTTCGATTCGAACATGAGTTCGAATCGAACATCGGCAGTTCGAGCGCTTGCCGAGCGCCGAACTTTATGGGATGTTCGCGGTCTGTTCGACCACGTACATTCCATAATACAAAATGCCCGCTGAAGCTCTGATTTGTTAAAGTCTTGAACCTGACCACAGTTCAGGTGCAAGACTTTGCCCAATCAGGGCTCAGCGGAAGAGGGGCCTGGAGGAGAAATGCTGATTGACAGCCAGCTATTGCATTTTACAATGCTATTGCATTTTACAATATCCAAAAGCAGGCTGGGTATGGCTCCCAGCCTGCAGACAAAGTGAAGGCAGGGGGGCGGGGAAGAGGAGCCACGGCCAGACCGAAGAAGAGAAACCGACGGACCGCCAGGACATCGAGCGGACAGAGCAGGGGACCGGAGGCCGGGACAGCAGCGGAGGTAAGGGGGGCAGTGCACAGTATTTATTACATGTATCGGCAACTCTATGGGGGTCGAACATTCGACCCCCATACACTTGCATTTAGTTCGAGTTTGTATTCGAACTTTTCGGCCATTCGAATGTGTGAATACGAACCTAACAGGGGGATGTTCTGCTCATCCCTACTGAAAACCTGTGATGGATTCAATACAAATTAGTAAGCTAAACTTGAAATTGTAGTCCATAATGGGAGGGAGCTTGGAACAGTGACTACTTTACAACACACACAGGGACCATAGGGAACAAAAGTAGCCACCTTCTAGAAGGAAGGACAGTGTCAGCATGAGTTCAGAGATGATTTGAGCATCTAAAACTGAGTGATACACAAATAAGATACATTCTTAATAATAGTTCCGGTACTTCAATATCACTTTAGCAGTCTGACCATTGGTACCCAACATTTCCAGGTGTGTTGGATGCCGAAGCTCCCACTGCCCTGTGGTTCCACCAGCCAGCTGATATGCTGCTACTGTATCCTGTAGTCATATCGACCACGTACATTCCATAATACAAAATGCCCGCTGAAGCTCTGATTTGTTAAAGTCTTGAACCTGACCACAGTTCAGGTGCAAGACTTTGCCCAATCAGGGCTCAGCGGAAGAGGGGCCTGGAGGAGAAATGCTGATTGACAGCCAGCTATTGCATTTTACAATGCTATTGCATTTTACAATATCCAAAAGCAGGCTGGGTATGGCTCCCAGCCTGCAGACAAAGTGAAGGCAGGGGGGCGGGGAAGAGGAGCCACGGCCAGACCGAAGAAGAGAAACCGACGGACCGCCAGGACATCGAGCGGACAGAGCAGGGGACCGGAGGCCGGGACAGCAGCGGAGGTAAGGGGGGCAGTGCACAGTATTTATTACATGTATCGGCAACTCTATGGGGGTCGAACATTCGACCCCCATACACTTGCATTTAGTTCGAGTTTGTATTCGAACTTTTCGGCCATTCGAATGTGTGAATACGAACCTAACAGGGGGATGTTCTGCTCATCCCTACTGAAAACCTGTGATGGATTCAATACAAATTAGTAAGCTAAACTTGAAATTGTAGTCCATAATGGGAGGGAGCTTGGAACAGTGACTACTTTACAACACACACAGGGACCATAGGGAACAAAAGTAGCCACCTTCTAGAAGGAAGGACAGTGTCAGCATGAGTTCAGAGATGATTTGAGCATCTAAAACTGAGTGATACACAAATAAGATACATTCTTAATAATAGTTCCGGTACTTCAATATCACTTTAGCAGTCTGACCATTGGTACCCAACATTTCCAGGTGTGTTGGATGCCGAAGCTCCCACTGCCCTGTGGTTCCACCAGCCAGCTGATATGCTGCTACTGTATCCTGTAGTCATGTAGTGGCTGACAGGTAGAACCATAGTCTACAGTGAGGGACTGAACACCCGACACACCTGAAAGTGTTAGAAGTCAGCAGCAGCCATTGTTCTTTAGGAGAATG